AGGCTGGCAGGGGAGGGTGGTTAGGGTGATCAGGCTGGCAGGGGATGATGACTAGAGGTGATCATGGCCAGCAAGCGATTGTGTTAGGGGCGATCCGGCCAGCAGGCAGAGGAGTTAGGGGCAATAGGAAGGCAGGCAGAGTGGTTAGGGGCAATCAGGCAGGTAGGCAGAGTGGTGAAGGGAAATTAGGCAGGCAGGTAGGTGAGTGGTTAGGAGCCAGATTGTGAGAGGGATGTCTGAGGTTTGGGCCTAAACCAGTAGTCAGACATCCCCCAGGGGTCCTGGATTGGGGAGGGCGCAGGGCAGGATGAGTGACACCTCCCCATGCATGAATTTTGTGCACCAGGCCTCTAGTAGCTTTATAATAGTCTTCCCATGTATACTAGATAGCAATTTACTTATGCATTCACTTCTACTAGGTAGCACATTCTTCTTTATGTTTTTCACTGTATCAAGTACTATAAAATATGAAGTAAACCCTTGAGAAATACCTGATGAAATAGATATATATTGTCCATACTCGCTAACACCTGCAATATAACCCACTTCACTGTTTTTCTCCCCAACTAAATTTCTAGTGTAATTTACCTTAGGTTAGGTAAGGCAGCAAAGGTATTTTCCAAATATTTCTTATATAGATTTATTAAATTTTGGTAGTTGATCTTATACATATTTATATATGGGCAGCCCTTTGAGGAAAGGTAATAAGATCCCATAATATAAGCTACACACGTAGAAGGCATTCAATAAATATCAAATATCTTTTAAACCACCTAAAGTTATAAAAGATCAAATTCCTGAACAGGAGAGTGTCACTGATCTAGCTAGTACCATCAATTATGCTTGTAAAACTTTCAGTTCATTTAATAATTAGGTTGATTAATAATGTATGAATGGGTGTCCTTTACAGTATATAGAAGAACACAACCAGAGTTACCTGGTGAGTTGTACCAGTCTAAAAGATAACATAAAAAAAAAAACAATATTTGCAAATAGAACTAACTTCAAGAGCTCATGACAAAACAGGTCTATCCTTTTTCTTTGGCTTAGGTTCATATTTCAAATGAATAAAAGTAAAATTAAAACTGTAAAATTATATATGCATGTGAACACAAAGTGGAATGGAAAGAAAGCATGAGAATGTGAGTTGTCAAGATGGAAGGATGTCAGAAACTTTCCTTTTTATGTTTTGTTTGTTTACGTTAAATGTGTAACAAGAACAATATACCAGACAAAAGCATATTCATTAAGGGGATGGGGGTGAGCTATAAGGGATCAATTCGGGGGGGGGGGGGGGGGGAGAGACATATACAATACTTTCAACAATAAAGATTTTTTAAAAGGCATATTCATTAACTATTATAACTCTTGCTATTTAATTTAGCAAAAATGATTGAAACACTCTTATTCCACATGATAAATGTGAATAAGCCAACTAACTACCTCAACACCTACGCATAGTCTAGTATACTATAAGTGAAGAACTTATAGTACACTAGAGCTTCTTGCAAATTTCAGATTTTCCTCAACAGTAGCTAATGTGATTCCAAATATCAAAATCTGTACAGTAAAACTACAGCATCCCAGTAACCAACCCATTCTCATCTTATTTTTTTAAATATATATTTTATTGATTTTTTACAGGAAAGGAGAGGGATAGAAAGTTAGAAACATCAATGAGAGAGAAACATCGATCAGCTGTCTCCTGCACACCTCCCACTGGGGATGTGCCTGCAACCAAGGTACATGCCCTTGACCAGAATCAAACCCGGGACCCTTGAGTCTGCAGGCTGACGCTCTATCCACTGAGCCAAACAGGTTTTGGCTCATCTTATTCTTATTTGTTTAGTCATTTCTGAGGTTGATCCTACACTAATATATTAAGAGAGAAACAATTGCCGAAACCAGTTTAGCTCAGTGGATAAATCATCAGCCTATGGACTGCAAGGTCTCAGGTTCGATTCCAGTCAAGGGCATGTACCTTGGTTGCAGGCATATCCCCAGTAGGGAGTGTGCAAGTGGCAGCTGATCGATGATTCTCTCTCATCGATGTTTCTAACTCTCTATCCCTCTCTCTTTCTCTCTGTAAAAAATCAGTAAAATATATTTTTTTTAAAAAGAGCCAAAACCAATTTGGCTCAATGGTTAGAGCGTGGGCTTGGGGACTGAAAGGTCCCGGGCTCAATTCCGGTCAAGGGCATGTATCTTGGTTGCGGGCATATCCCCAGTAGGGGGTGTGCAAGAGGCAGCTGATCGATGACTCTCTCTCATCGATGTTTCTAACTATCTCTCTCCCTTCCTCTCTGTACAAAATCAATAAAATATATATTTTTTAAAAAAAGAGAGAAACAATTATGACTAAAAGTTTACTATTTGTCATAATTATATACTATTACTTAATACATTCATTTTCCCAAAAGTAATAATTGTTCAAAGCAATATGATTCATTTCAAAATTACTGGAAAGGAATATGGTTTTGTTTTAGCCTTTTCAAACAAACTCTAGATAGAAGTTTAAATATCACTGACTTTAAAATTTCATTACATTGCATTCCATAAAAACCTCTAGATTTATGTAAATAACTACTTAGTGACAAAATAGAAATAGAATCAATTTTAATTATCTGTGGTAATCACTGAAAAAAAGAAGTCCTTGTGCTTTCAGGAACTAGAAGACCAAGTAAGTGAAGGCACTGAATGAATGAGGTAGTTTATCTCAAATAATGCACTTCTATTTACATGATAATGGACCCATATTTAAACATTAACTTAAAAATGCGTTCAGCCAAAGGAAAAGCTAAAACACCCATTCCATAACTAAAATGATTATTCTATCAAAACTCAGATACTGATAATTATTACAATTTAACTAAAGACAATTTATAAGTAAAAAAGATAGTACTTCCCTCAAAAACTAAAACAGAGTGGAAGGTGGGGGTGGGGGTAAATTCTACCTGAGATATGTCTTTTGTAGTGGTTGGATAACTGCCTCTTTTTAGCACTGACATTTCCAAGTTTTTCATGAAAAAGAAATTTTAAGAATGTGCTAAAGTCATCCTTTCGGAATCAAATCCCAGATCAGTTGTGTTTTATGTGGCTTGTTTTTTGTTTTGGCTTTTTAAGTTTTTCCTAATCATTGAGATGGTAATAAATTTAGGGTGAATTTAAATGAAGATGCCTGTACAAGGAACAGAAGCTTTTGAAAACTTTCATAGTTCCTCTAAGTTCTTTCATTTTCTCAGAGCATGGAACTAGTGAGGTCAAGACTAAACTAGTTTGAGTTATTAGGGAAAAATTCTTCTTTGTCACATGACAATCTTAAGCTGACTTAGCAGGAACAGAAGGAATCACCAACTCCAATAGAAGGTGTAACTTCCAGAGAAGAGATAAACCAACTCCCGAGAGAAGGACAAACCAAAGTATAGATTAACTGACTGAGCTATATGTATTGATAATATCTCACTGTATAGCAAAGATAGCAAAGAAAAAGGAAAAGTGAAAAACAACTCATGATTCTTACATAGACTTAAACAACACTTATGAGCAGTGAAGTGGCAAGAACGATTTAGAACCGCGATTTTCAGCTCATGGCACACATAAACTAATTACTAGAATTCTGTGGCACACCAAAAAATATATTATGTTTTGCTTATATGACCAAAAAAATGATAGGACTTCCCTCAAAAACTAAACTTTGATTCTTTCACACCAGACGGCTTATTGCGTTGGCTGTTGTCATTTCTTTATTTGACAATCTAAGGGAAAATAGGTCAGTGCCCCTGACTAAACAGTCAGGCATTGCATGTTTTAAAAGTTCTTGTAGCACACGTGTTGACAATCGCTGACTTAAAACATGACTCTGAAACATACGAATGATTCTGATTAGTTAAAGAGTCTTGAAAAGTCATCTCCCGGGATTATAACAGTGACACACACCCTCCCCCTCAATAATATAACCTTATACAGAAATGTGTTTTGAAATATACAATATATTATCTCATTTAAAGTAACTTGCCCAGTCACACTGCTTGTTAGTTAAGTATGAAAGCCAAGACCCAGCCCACCTTCCCCTCGGAATTGGAGTTAGGGTTTCTCTCCACGCCATCCGACTGTCTACAGAGGATTTAAATGTTACTTGGTTTTATCTGCTTTCTCTACCCTCCCTGCAGATTGCAGGGAATGTCTGAAAGATACAATTTCACAAGAATCTTGGCACTTCAAACTATTGTTGAGAGATGAGCAATATGACTTCAAGCAACAACAAAACTTTCTCAACAGTCAGAAAATGTGGGAGTAGTAGGGAGACATCTCTTTTACCCAACTTCGAAAGTTATTTCCAACTCTGTAGGACCGTCCAGGGTACAGGAACAGACCGTGAAAAAGAGCAAGACGAGCAATGTTTGCACTAGAGTGCTTTCTCAGGGGGTGGGTAGACCACACTCCCTGCCATTTTTCCTGCCACACGAGCCACCAAAGTGCAGGGTGAGGGCGCCTGGGCCGGTGACGTGGGGCTTCGGGGTGCCTGGCTGTCCGGCCTGGCCCGAGGGGTGAGCCCGAAGGGGCGGGGGCCGCACTGACAGCTGGCAAGGCGAGTCGGCGGGGACCCGCGAGGCAAAGGGCCCAGGGGAAGAGGTGGGGAAAGGAGGAAGAGAGCCCGGGGCGAGGGACTAGGACGCCCTCCAGGAAGGGCAGGGGGGAAGCGAGAGGGCGAGAGGGCGAAAGGGCGCGGGGCGGGGCGGGCGCGCCGGCGGAAGGGGCAGCGGACCGGGACGTGGGGCCCGCGGCGCCCCGGGACGCGGTGCAGACGAGGGGAGGGGCGTCCCGTACAGGCGGGGCGCGCGTGGAGGACAAGGTTTCGGGGTGCGCGGGCCGCCATCCAGCCCGGATGCGGACTCCAGGGGCGGGGCAGCCGGACCCCACAGGGCGGCCGCCGCGAAGGGGCGCACCAGGCACCTGCCGCCTCTGGTGAGGCGGCGGCCGCGGGCGGGCTCGGGTCTCACCTCTTCGGTTCATGGGCCGGATCCGGACGGCCACTTTCACTTTGGAGTCTCCCATCCTGCCGCCGCCACCGCCGAGACTCTCACTCGGCTTCCGTCTGCCGTGGCCACCGGGCAACTCTTCGGGGCTGACCCGGCGGTAGGGGGCTGCGGCAGGCAGGAGGGGCGGGGCCTGGATCGGGGCGGGACCTGGGAGGGGGCGGGGCCTGGGTAGGGGCGGGGCGGGCCGCTCGCTGGGCATGACGGGATTTGTAGTCCTTGAAGGTGGTGGTCGTGGCGGGCTGGGAGAACTCTGAGCGGTTGGCTCACAAGAGACCTTGCAAATGATACACCCCATTCTTGTTCTCATACACTGTCGATGAGCTGATACCTCATGTGAGAACAAATAGTTAAGTCATTGACGTTGGAGAACCTGCAACCTCTTCAGATTCATTGCCCACCAATTTAGCGTTTGATTCCTGGCTCAAATTATTTCTTCTGCCTAGATTGCCCTCCAGGCCCTGTTTACCGAGACCATCCTTCAAGACAAGTCAAAAGTCATCTCCTTTGGATGCCTTGATAGTATATAGTAAAGTATATAGTAAAGAGAGAGAGAGAAACATCCATGTGAGAAAGAAACATTGATCGGCTGCCTCCCATACATGCCCCAAATAGGGATGAAACCCAAAACCTAGGTATGTCCCAGACAACTGAGCCATCCAGCTAGGGCTAAAATATTTCTTTATTAAGCTATTTAAAAAACCACAGTCTCTTATTCATCCAGTATGGAATTTTTTGGTCCAGCAACAGTTATGTGTCCAATAGGCCCTCTCCATTCTCCCATAGAAAGAAGAGGCAATCTACATAATAAAAACCCTTCCTCTTCTCTGCCCCAAAGAAGGCCATGCCCTCCCCCAATATCTTTTCTTTTCTAATAGCTCCCTTGTCCCACCCTTTTTCCTATTTTGTACAACTCCAAGCTCCCTTCTGGTTGCTAGATGGGATGCTGCCCAATTCACGAATCACTTAGATTTTCACATTTACTCAGTTGATTAAAAAAAACAAACAAACAAACAAAAAAACACTCAAGCCAAAACCGGTTTGGCTCAGTGGCTGAAAGGTCATCGGACTGAAAGGTCTCAGGTTCGATTCCGGTCAAGAGCATGTACCTTGGTTGCGGGCACATCCCCAGTAGGGGGTATGCAAGAGGCAGTTTCTCTCTCATCGATGTTTCTAACCCACTATCCCCTCGCTCTTCCTCTCAGTAAGAAATCAATAAAATATATTTAAGAAGAAAAAAAAACACACAAAAAAAACCTAACAGACTGTTAACTGGTGGTCTGTGGCAAGATCTGGATGCAAATGTGTTCTGTGTGGCCCAACAGTATTGACCAATGCCTGGAAATCCGGAGGTTTTCATATACAATATTGGGCCTATGTTACATATTGGAATTATAGACTGGGACTGAGAAGCAGTGGCCACCTTCAGAAGAGGCAGGTCTCTCCAGTTCACCATAGCCCCATCCAGTCTGCTTTACTGCTCACCTCTCTAGATCCGACGTGATTATGATGCCTGGTTGGATATGTTTACATGACAGTACAGAACTCAGAACCATTTTACAGATAAATGAGTATAGAAAGCTGGTAAAATTTGCCCTTTAACCAACCACCCCACTGTTGAAAAGAGCTTCAAAGTTGTCAAAAAGGTTAAAAGCATCTTTAAGAGGAATATAATTCTGACACATACCACAACGTGGATAAACCTTGAAAACATAATGCTAAATGAAATAAGTCAAACACATAAAAACAAACATTGTATGATTGCACTGTATATAAGGTATCTGGAGTAGTGAAATTCATAGAGACAGAAAGTAGAGTGGTGGTTGCCAGGGGCTGGGGATGGAGGAATGAAGAATTAGTGTTTAAAGGGTACAAATTTTATATGTATTTGATTTGAAAGAGGGAGAGTGAAAAACACATTGACTTGTCCCACTTATTTATGCATTCATTGTTTGATTCTTGTATGTGCCCGGGTCCGGGATTGAACTCACAACCTTGGCATATGGATCTATCAGGCCAGTGCCTAAAGGGTACAGAATTCCTTGTTCGTTCGTTCTTCCTTTCTTTCTTTCTTCCTTTCTTTCTTTCTTCCTTTCTTTCTTCCTTCCTTTCTTTCTTTCTTCCTTTCTTTCTTTCTTTCTTTCTTTCTTTCTTTCTTTCTTTCTTTCTTTCTTTCTTTCTTTCTTTTTTTCCTTCCTTTATTTCTTTCTGATTTTCACAGTCCAAACAAATAAAATGAGAAACAACTAAGAATTGCTTTTTAATTTAAAAACTTAATGCAAATAATTGATATCTACTATCACCATCATTCATTTTTTAAAAAGAAATATGTTTTTATATTGAAATTGTTTGCTTTATGATCTCTACTGCCCTTTTGCTCTTATAAGCGTTGGAAACACACACACACACACACACACACACAAAACTCTTCTCTTGGTTCCTGGGCATCCATTCTTTACTTTCTCTTTCTTCTTAAAGACTTCTTCTGATAATAGCTTTTAAACAGAAGCAAGGCATGCAGAAAAAGAGAAGCTTCACATTTTCTATGGGGACCTTGTATTTAAATTTAAGCTCCAATTTCAGAGAGGAGAAAGCCCCAAGGAGTTGAAGGAGGGGCATATAATAGGGAAGAGGTGAGGACTTTCTCTAAAGTTCCAAAACCAACTGAAGGCTCCTGAAAACATCTGATTGGAAGAAAATGATAGTAGCTGCCCAAGGGACTATAGAGAAAACCCCTGTGGGCTTCTATTCAGTACCAATCTCTCTCTTTTGACTTCTGCAATAAAGGTGAGGTGAGAATCCTGAGAGAGAAAGGGCTGAGGTGCCAGTTACAACCTGCAGCCCAGGGGCTTCGGGGCTTTCACACGAGGTAACTGGAACGCTGTCCAGTCACAGTTGGTTTCTCTCTTTTTGACTATTAGAGAAGAGAAAAAGAACTAGTAAATAAGCCACTCCCTTGGATCTGTGTGTGTGTGTGTGTGTGTGTGTGTGTGTGTTTAAATAAAAAGCAGGTACTTAAGATATCAACTAATATTTATGATGTAGATTAGGGGTGTCGAACTCAATCAGAGAAGGGGCCAAAATCTAAAATCCAGCCTAAATCGCAGGCCGAATGGTTTACTGAACAGTCATAAACTGTCATTGTGATGGAAACGCAGCGGAGTGCAGTGATGACAGCGCTGTGCGGGCCACATTGCAAGGCCTGGCGGGACGGATTTGGCCCTCGGGCCTTGTGTTTGACAGATGTGATTGTAGACACTAGTTCAATAGAATCAAGACATTGAAGTCTGTTTAATGTTGATTTTAGCTCTGTTGATCAGAAGTCTTTGTTTTGTTTTTTTTGTCCTGACTTTTGGCAAATCTACATACTCTAGAACATTCCTAGCTTACTTTTTGTTGCTTTGGTCCACCCTTCATCAGTTTCTGATAGTTCCTGCCCAGGCTAAGGAAGACATTCCCCCTCCCCCTCCTCTTTTTTTTTTTTTTTTAAATAAAATTATCATTGACAGAATCCTGGTAGCTAACATATCATGATAGCTAGCACTCACTGTGTGCCAGACACTGTCCTAAGCATTTTACATGAATTTACTTCCTTAACCCTCACACTAGCTCTATGAAGTAGTTACTATTATTATCCCTATATTGCAGATGGGGAAACTGAGGAGCTGAGGTGTCACTGGGGGGCTACTGTGATCTGATCCCACTCCACAGTCTTTCGAGATGGTTTACATTGCAGATTCCTCAGTCCATAGGGATTCAAAAAGAATCTACTTTTCACCATTCTACTTTCCAACATAGTTTCTGAAATGCCATTATTATTATTATTTTTTTAAAGCGGGAACTGTGCACTATCTTTTGCTTTTCTATAAAGGAAGGAATGAGCCGAAGATCTTGCCAGCATAAATCAGCATTTACCTGCTTGCCTCAGACTTAGCTTTGGCAAACTCTTGGCTTTCCCAATTATAATTGTCTCTTCCTGTCTTCCCAGCTATACTTGAATATCTTAGTAGCACAAGGAGAATATCTTTTTTTCAAATCTTTTTATCTCCAATATCTGGTATAATGCCTGGGACTAAGGAGGCAGGCACTTCATGCATTTTGGGGAATGAAGATATTAACAAGATATCATCATGATTAACCTCAGACAGGTTAACTGACTTACCTCAGGCAAACCACAGGGTTGGGCTGCAAACACTAGTGCTTCTGATTCCAAAAATAGATGTTGTTTCCACAAAGAAGGCCACATCTATGTGTCCTCGTGTGCGTTTGTATGTTAGTATTACCTGTCCTACGTTGTGGACTCCTAGTGGAAGCCTAGGCCTCGGTAACAGCAGTGGCCTATAGCTGTTAGTTATCAGGTGCTTTTGATGTGCCAGGCATGTGCCCCCACATACTAGTATATGATCTCATTTACTTTTCACAATAATCCCATGAGGTCGGCGCTATTATTATGACCTTTGACAAATGGGCAACTGAGAATCATTGAGGCAAATTATCTTGCACACTGGCCTGAATAAGAGGTTCCTGAATGTGAATCCTGGGTCCCCCTGTGTGCCTTGCCTGGACTGTCAGCCATTACTACGACCTGAACCTGCCTCTTCACATAGTATCTGGTTCTCTGCACGCTTCACTGATTCTCTTCATCAGCCACCAACTGGCAGGGCTTCACCCGCACCCTGCCATGATCTAAGACTGTGCCGCCTATGAAATTCGGTAATTTCATCCACAGCCTCAACCTCATCCAAGTACCAAGCCTCCAGTTCCTCAGCTTACCCCTTTCCTCACTCTTGAGCTCATTGATAGATTTATTTCCTTACAACTCTAACCCAAACCTCTCTTTTGACTGTGTTGTCAACATCACTCATGCCCTGTAAATTCCTAAACTTATGTCATTTCCCTCCTCTTCTGCTCTCATATTGGCCAGGAACTTGGCTGGAGGAAGTCACACATCCGGGCACATTGGTCCCCTCACGTTTCTGTGGTCTCTGATCTCAGAGTGGTCCTTAGTAGCACTTGAAACCCTCTTTCCTGCTCGGTCCCCCTCCCCAGGGGGCCTTTACCACTCTTTTCAAGCCCCCCAGCCCAACATGGCCACTCCCAGATTACGCTGCTCCTACAGCACTGCAAAGA